TTCGCTGTTCACTGAGATTTTGATATTTCATAAATTTGACAAAAGGTAAGTTGCTACCCTTTGTGCCGATTTATTATTTATTTAGTGGAAGAAGCTTTTAAGTAGATGTCAAATGATCGTTTGGCACTTGAACTACCAGCCCTACCAGCACGCTGAGGCAGAAACGTAGCGCACAGTCTGCGTACTACGTACCAGCCGTGGGTCGGCACTAACCTATCGACATCTGCCACAGTGAACTGCGTGTATGTATATCAGCTCTACTCCTCCATAATAGCTCATATCTCCCTTCCCCCGCCGGGGGGACCAAACACATGCTCTCTCTCCACTCCGCCGCTGAGACGAATGGTTTCTGGAGCAAATGAATTCCCGGTTGGAGAAAGGACTGTAATGAATGGGTTGGGCGGAAGAGAGACGGACGGGCCGCCCTTTCGTGCCGCACAGCCCTGCGCGCCCGGCAACAAAGATGCTGAGCCTCGTCCTACTTTCCGTGGCTTTGTACAGTAGCTCAGGGGACTCGCCACGTGGGGCTGCCGTGTTAAATGACTTGGAGCACAAAGACACCCGGAGGAAATCTACCAACAGAGAGAGAGGGTGATGTGGAGCTGTGGATGTGGGTGCTTCCCATTGATTGTTTCCCTTTTCGGGAGGCGTGTGTCCTGTTTGAGAAAAGCTGATGTACAGTGTTGACATTTAGTGTGTGTGTGTGTGTGTGTGTGTGTGTGTGTGTGCAGCAGACTTAGTCCCCTGACATTCAGTTTGAGACTCATAATATTGTCTAAGGCTTGTGCGCTGGTTTTGTGTAAATGGTGTAGACAACACTCATCCTCTTTCGCCCCTTTCTGTCAAAACACAAAAAGGTTTATTTGAGCATAAAATAAGCAGCACGAGTGTGACATACATGATGCCATTGAGCACGTATGAGTGTGTGCCTTTGGTTTCTGACCAGTTGACATTTCAAACAGTCTGCTTTGTGAGGGGCACAACGACGGGACACCAATGCTCAGGAAGCCCAAGAGCTCCGGGTTTAAATTCAGTCTTACTGTCAAACTTAGATTATAGCAAACTTTAGCACAACGCATGGGCGAGACACCGAAGGTCACGGCTTGTTGGCCACCGATGACAAAAGGTTCCCGTGCAAAAAAACAACAACTCCTCAATCAGCTCGTAGCACACAACTGCCTACTGTCACGCACCAACCGCCAGGTCAAATTCCTTGTATGTGTGACATATTTTGGCAATAAATGTTTCCTGAAGTCCCTCTATTTGACTTTATGAGCTCCAAGAGCTGCACAGAGCCTCAACTACCGAACCACAGAGAAGGAGAGACCCCCCCCCCCACGACGCTGATAACTGAGTAACTGATGCAAATCCCTCAGGTTGTTCATCGGGCGTCATCAGCGAACTTCCCTGTGTTCTTCAACACGTGTTGAGTCCTAGAACACATAAAAGCAGCATCAAAATGAATCATATGAAAATCTTCTCAAATTTAGGCGCAGATACGGACGACTAGGATGCTATTGACTCAGCAAATGGGTTAATTAAGAATTAAGTTCCGCCGTGCTTCAGAGTTATTACTCAAGCCCTTAAAATGAACTCTTCCAACACTCTTCTCTATTGGAAAATCTGTTCTAGCTGTTTTCATACTTGCCGGCTCCTCAAACAGTGCTGAACATCTGCCACAAAATCTGTGCGTTTCACGCTGCTCTGACATTGCAAATAACAGCCTTAACAAAGCCTTTGTGCTGCTACGATTATCCAATGCAACAACAGGTTGAATCCCCCCCCCCCCCCTTGTCATGTTTGTGCATCAAAGGCAACCGCATCCCCCTGTTCACCCATATGGAAGATTGAGTGTTCATGTTATGATATGATTTGATATATGATAAGTATTTCTCAATCTTTGACATTTTCTGTGGGGAATTAAATCCAAAGAAAGCAAAAAAAAAGACAAAAATAAGTAACTCCTCGACACGGACCTCCCAGATCTTTTTTTTTTGACCAAACGCCGGTTACTGGAAACACATTTCTCTCTACTTAACATTTTCACAATGCTCATTTCTCAAAGAACTTACGAAACTCTCCTCCAAAATACAGTGAGGGATGAGCTTTGCACTCAGCTATCTGTCTTCTCGACATTTGCTTCCCTTCCCCACTCCGACGGAGCAGCACCGTCCGTAGCGCTGCGGTTCCAGCCCGACACCACCTGATTTCACTCATTATCCCGGCTCCTGAAATAGTCGTGGCTGTTAAATCATTCTCAATCAAGAGACCACGGCCCATCAAATCCGGGAGACTTTGAAATGGTCTCTGTGGGAAAAGCGGTTTAAGACCCCTTTGTGTACGCCGGTGGCTGACCACGTCGCCCGTGGGCAAAGTCTCCATATAAGCCTCTTAACGCCACTTTGCCGCTTTAGCAGACTTAAATCAGAGTTCACAAATGACGGCTCGATGGACCCGACGTTCAACTATAGTTAATGAATGCTTGTATTGTGGCTTGCGCTGCGTGACGCTTAGACTCCTGCTGATATTGTGGTGCCGTGTTGAGTTGTCTGCGTAATGCCGTGCTCTGTTATTACTGCCTGTTGGTTGATTATTCTGCATCTCCATCTCTTCTATGTCTATTTCTCCGTTAAACACTGCTTAATTCTCCTTTCAGCATTAATTGGAATATTTTAAAATGCATTAGAACTTATTAGCACAAGTTGTTTTGCATTTCAGAAACCACATCCGACGGTTGCTAATAAACTGCATTTTAATGTTAAAGTCAAGTTAAGAGAGGAATGTGGACGTCAGTGTCATCAGTCTGCCGAGGCGAGAAGAAACATAAAGGGATGCCACAAAAAGTACTACCACCAAAACAGAACAAATTTAATTGCAAAATACAAATTGAATGCCAAATCAATTCTGAACGACTCGACAATTTGTACAACGTGTAAGTGGCCTTTTTACTGTTGTAGGGCTCTGGAGGATACCCTCTGAACAAATTACCTTTCACCTGATAAACACATCATCAGCTTAATCAAAACCCGGTGTGAGGGAATGAGATCTTCATCTACTTCTGATCAACGGCAGCATCCATCCAAGTTTCCCCCCCCCCGGGGAAGTTGGAATGGGGTAATCAAATGATGTAATCACGTTATGCTTAACAGAGCAAATATCCAAAGGCCTTGGAGCGTCACTTCCATTAATCCAGGATGTTTTTTATACAGTACAAAGGCTACCGCGCTTATATTCACTGTAAACATGAAATACCAAAGCATGGAAACAACCACGACCATTACTCCTCAGTACGTGATGTCAAGATGATGAGAAAGGGCCATCTAAGGGAGTATGAATTGACAATCTCAAGGTCTTTATATGTAGTTTAAAGGTAAACTATACTGTTCATTGACTCTTTTGTAGGTTTTTCTGCTTCTTCCTTCGCTGAATCAGCTCGTCTTGCAGCGTCTTCACAGGAAGAGCGAAGAGGCCGACATCCACGCTTTCCTTTTCTCTAACTGCATCAATTATTCCAAGCAGCCCATACAGTAAGGTGATCCTCTGCTCACAGAAACGGACGCACTTTGTTTCACACGTAACACAAGTCTGTACTTTAGGATGCTAAAAATACCTTTATTCACATGTTTGTGAGATCTTTAAAGATAAAGCTGGGCAGCAACAATATTAGTTGATTAATGGTTTACTGTGATTTAAATCAAATGCAAGAAGAAGGTAACTTTAAAATCTGTTTCCCCGCCAAAGACTCAACTGCACAAAAAAACCCAATATGCAACAACACAAAACGCAAAAGAGTTACATGCTGATTATACAGTTCTTTATAGCTTTCCTGATACACAACAAACCACCGTTCGCCACACATGCAGAATGTTATTTCTACTCTTTGACAAAGTTCTGTCTGTACAATCTCAGGTTGCCCTGATTTCATACGCACACGCACTCCAGGAGAAATTGTTTAAGATCAATCCATCAGTTACACAAGCCAGCGCTATGGCAAAAGATCCGATACCGACAGATACAGCATCTGCTTTTCGCCGGACAAATGCCGCTAAATTATCTCCGTGTAATGATCAGGAGGAGCCGAATCTTTTGTTCAGATAAGGCACAATAACATGACGATGCATGCATGTGATGAACAACATATATAAGTTGGGAGATGGATGGACGAAACAATATGGGATGAAACATGGAAAACTGTGATTAAAATGGAATCTGTCTTTTATGTTTGATAACGTTCATGCACATTGCATAACTCAGTGTCCAGGCTTTTCGTTGACCCTCAGCCAACACAGCAGCGAAGGGCTGCCAACCGCCTTGTCATGCATTTTCAATGAACACTGCTGCTTGAGTAATATATCATAAAATATTAAAGTTTGGTCTTTAATGCTCCCGGGTCGTGACTCAGGAATGCTCTTTTATTACATAATCAACCGTCTGGGAGTCAAAGTTTCTCTTTTGATCAACAATGAATGGCATTATCATAATTATCATTGAGAATGGATTATTGTTTTGAAGCCATAGGATAATTGTGTTCTTGAGATTACACGGACTTACTGTAGCTACGAGCTTGTAATGTTTTTAACATTTTGCACTTTTTTTTGTGCCTATGCATGATGTCACTCAAAGCACAGTGGCAACAATGTAGTTTGATGTATAAAAATCCGCGTGTCACATCGGCATCCCTCCCGTTTTACAACGTGACGTGCACGTACACGACACAGCGCGACTATGTAGACTTTGTGCATCAGTAGTTCCACGGTCATCTTTTTCTATCAATTTAAGCTGTTAAGCAATTTGTCAGCTGCGTCTTCAAAGCAATTTTCCAAAAATGCCCATTTTCAGAAACAAAAGCATACGTTTATCTGTGGGGCAGAGTGACGGTTGTTACCCTAAAAGAAAAAGCCGTGACATTTAAAAACTAAGCTTCGTGTGGAATCCGCCCTGTCCCCGTCCCAGCTATACGAGAGTCCCGTGTCGTGGAAAAGGAAAAAGGTCTTTCTTACCTGTAAATGCCCCTGGTACATATTGAGCACGCGGTCAGCAGCGGATCTCTCCGTCAGCGGATGTTTGGACTTCTTCCAGAAAGTACTGACATGAAAACCTCCGAGCGGAGTTCTTCTTCTTCTTCCTCCTTTTTCTTCTTCTTCTTCTTCTTTTAATGCACGGGAGGTCCGGAGGAGCTCAAGGGGAGGAGCTGTCCTCTCCTCGGGTACTGAAGATGACACTTTTGCTCCTCCAGGGTGTGTGTGTGTGCGCGTGAGAAGTGCAGCGCTGGACCTCACCTTCCCTCCTCCTCCTCCTCCCCCTCCTCCCCCCTCACGGTGCGCTGCCGCCGGCTAACGACGAGCACGAGCCGTCGGAGTCACTGCTCTTCCGCCCCGCGACGCATTGCCGGTAGGCGCGCGCTTCCGTCTCCCTCTGTCCTCTGTCGGCGCGGGTCTAAATGTTTCTGAGGCTCCTCGGTGTCCATTGTCTCCTTCTTACAGTGCGCTCCTCTTCCCCGTTTGACAACTACTCCCTCTGACCCAGCCCCTCCGGTGCCTCCTCCAGTGCTGACGTGCTCCGCAAGGAGGCACGCAAGAACATTTTTTCTCACACTTTCCCGCCGCAAAGCGTGTCGAGAACACCCGTGGAGAGTAAACAAAGTGCGCGCAACATTTAACATCTAAATTTCAAGTGTAGTTTTAAAGCTTACATGTTTGCCACGCGCATGTGAAGTTTATTTAAAGTGCTCCTCAGTCATTTTGGATCCAGTTCTGTGAGCAATTATGGAGACATATGGTTCCTCGGTTGTTATACAACATATTGTGTAATTTCCTAATTAAATGCAAAAAGCCAACTGCTTACATCATCAAATTAGGTCTGAAAGAGTGTGATACTTGCATGCAAAGAGCAAATCAGCTTTTTCCCAGTTGTCCAATTAGTGGATGGAACGATTATATAACCGAAACTGCAAGTCAAATAATTTCAAGGTAACTACAAAGACTAGAGTAAAAACAAGTTATCCGGTGGAAGTATTCTTCCAGTGGCAAATGTATCTTCCTATATTGGCTACCTATTCAGCCCAAAATAATAAAAACATTGTTGATCAAGTTTTGACAAAATGGGAATTTTGTTCAAGAACTTTGTTCAAAAAGGTGCACCACTAGATGACAAACCAGTTTCCACACCTCACTGACTGTCTGATTTAAGAGGCTCCTGACCTGACCAGTATAGCTGATCAACTCTGCCTCAAGCTGACACAAGACAGTGCAAGGAATGCACTAAATTAACGTAAATAAATACATGTATTAATGTGTTTCAACACACAGGAACGTACCAGGCCATTTGGGGCAGATTGCACAGAGATTGTCCAAATATTTTTCAGCCTCAACAGAAACACTGGTGTTTTTTTCAACTAGCGAGTCTGTATGAGTCATCGTGGCAACGTGTGGTCCTGGTAAGGCAGTTGTTTGTAGCGCAAAAGTTTTGGGTTAAACATGTAGACGGCCTCTAAGTTCCACCAATCGGAGAGCAAGAAGAATGAGTCATGATGATGAGCCATACAACTGCTCTCAGTCACCATTTGGAAACAAGTCCTATTACCCTTTTTTTTTTGGCTTAAAAACAGTTACCTGTATCGTGTGTACCTGTATAGTTTTATGCGTTGTGCAACAACAGGGACACAGACGTCCTTCCAATCTGCAGTGCTTTGATATTCTTCATGCCTCACCAGATCAAAACAAATTGACCCACCAGGCATTAATGTCAGCCTGATTATTAGCCCTTATGTTTGTTCGTATATTAAACCGCAGGAATACACAAACATATATTTCCCAGCTGTGTGTCAAATGTCATATTCACTCAGACATGTTTGCTCAATGATTAAGGATTACAAACTCACCTGACTTGAGAAGACAGACGTGCACATGCTGGCCTTTACATTGTTTTTTGCTTGTGTTGACAGAGACAGAGGGTGTACATAATTATTGTTAAGAAGAAGGGAATTACTTCTCCGTAAAAGGGACCAGACAGCCTGTGCTCTCTGACAGACAAATTATTTCAGGGAAATAGATGTATTCCTTTGAAATGTACCAGCTGGAACAGAGAGTCACTGAGGCTGCATTGATGCTGAGCAGGAAATTGAATAGAAAAAAAATACATAAAATCATAATTGGGCTCATTGCTCATTCTTTGTATGTCTACATTATACCTACAACAAAGTTCAGAATTTGTTTTTAGTCATTTTAAGTAAAATGCAAAGGTAAGTTTACCCAAATGAAGGAGAAAGTTGTAATTTAGCTGGAATAAAACATGCCAAACTATGATCGTTTTAGAAGAAAAATAAAAGGAACATTTTGCTTGTATGACAATAAATTGCAACGTCGTAGTCATAAATTGGCCTAATGCATGACATTGCAGTTTGCTTTGACCACAACCATCTTGTGTTATTTTCAGTCATCACTACTCTCACAAGTCTACGTTCACACTAAAAGATTACAGTACTTGCTAAAAATCAGCATGTTAGCATGCAGGTGTTAGCATGCCCCTAAATACAGCCTACCTGTGATGAGTGATACAACTTAGAAATCATCCTACATTTACTGTGGTTTGATTTAAAGCACAGATGCGAACGTATCGATGTGAGATTATCCCACTTATGCTGCTCCTCTGAACTCTTTTCCACAGCTCGTTATAAACTACTCTGCCGGGGACCGTTAGAATCACCAAACATGGGGATATTGAGGTTTTCATTACAAATATTTAGGTTTTCATTAGTTAGTGATGAAAGTAAAGCCACCCCAGTATGTTGGAATTGAGTTTAAATAGAGACTTCACTACACAAACACGTCAATGCTTGGTATTGGTTAGTCAATTCCATCTGAAAAGGCCTGTGTAATACCACTTTAGATGAATAATAATTGGGATAGTTGAATGCAATACATTTCAATAAAGGTTCTATGTATTCACGCCATAATTCTTAAAGTTCTGAACTCAAAATTGCATCACCGATTTTCTCATTTCCGAAATAGCCTCTTAGGATATCTGGGAAATAAATCAGAATTTGCTGATCTCCGACATCACAGTATTTCAAATGAGGTAGTGTCTGAATATTATGAATGAGGACAAAAATAGCCGAGCTGCCACATTTGGTTTGCCCATTAATAGCAGACGTACACCAAATCCAACACACAAATTAACTGATTAAAAAGTAAAATCTTAATTTCATGTCATGTATCATCCGCTAGTGAATCATGTGACTTCACAGTTGAAATGAGTCAACTTAAGTCGAGTACAAAAACGTAGTGCAGCTGAACATATGGTGAAGCACATATGAAGCACAAGATATGGTCAAAATCTGTTGAACTGTATTCACGGTTCATGTTTGATTGTAACACAGTTATGTGAGACACTGCCATGTCGCTACTATGCTGTTCATCAATGAATATAGCATGTAGCAAAAAGGACAAAAACGATATGTACCTCCAAAACGGTGCCGGAGAAAGTTCAGGCGCACGTCTCTTACAGTGACGCACGGCGGTCTGCAACTGTCATTCTCCCACGAGCCTCAGGGCACAGACTGTTGACTAAATGATGTATCTCATGTCGTAGTCAAAGGGAAATCACTGTAATGTGTTTTCTCCCACAAATACACAATACCAGTGATGTCAGCACCCTGCATTGTGTCCATGAGACGGGTCACGCCTTCAGTCAGCGTGACGCAGCAATCTGAAACACATTAGAGGAAGTTCGTTGGTGCTGTAACTCTGTAATGTGACCCAGAGGAATAATTTAGGAATGAGTCGTTCTGCTCGATCAACGGCAGTGAATCAGGCAGCACACAGCTGATTCTTGCTCTTCTCTCCGTGCAGTTTCATCCAAACACCTGACATCAACACGCTCCATCGGGTCTCCGCAGACGAAACGTGATTTATTTTGATTTACAGCTGCCACGCTAACACATTATCTGCTGTTTGGAGGACGAGTCGTTACAAGTGACCCAACCAAACACGGTGGGGAAGAGGAGAATGACAAAAAGTTAATAGAGCAAAGAAATGAAGTCAAATGATGTTGGTGGCAGACACTGGGCACCGGTTTACACTCTAAAAAGCATGTTTCCCTTTGCCTTTGGTAAGGAATACCCGGGGTGGGATATAGGACTTCCCTGATGGATTGTGATTGTGTAAAATACTCCCAGGAAGTTTATAGTGTTGAACATAAATCTTTTAATCGCTGTCATGCTGGAGAAGACAAAAAGAGCTGATTTCAAAACGAATCGGATACATTGTGAATTTAAGAACACTCGATGGGCCGCACTTCGAAAGCAATATACAAACAAATGGCTTCTTTTGTCTGTTCTTGCTTTGGGAACCACTCTTGTTTTCTTTCTCTGGAGAGGTGCAGAATGGGGCTAAAAATCTCCATGTATATCTGTTCAGCAGTCCAAGCTGACCAAAACAAAACCTCAACACGGAGAGCGGAGCTGCTACCGGTCATCCAGACAGCAGTAAGTGGATCCTAAAGCTCACCTCGTCAAAGGTGGACACGTTCCGTGCTTTAATGTCCTGCAGGTCCTGCTACGCTGTTTCTTTCTTTCATCAGTTTCTGTCTGCTGATCTGACTCCACTTGGACTTTGATAAAAAGGAAAGGCTTTGGTTCACCGCGGTGTGTTGCAGGATGAAACAACCCGCGTTGGCCTCGTTCTCTCTTCTGGTAAGTTAAAGCATCTGTATCCACGGTGCCACAGATAAGACGATAAGACGAGGATCATGTGAGGTTACATTTTACAGAGAATCCAGACGGTGTCGACATAGAAGCTTCCCACTCAAGCAGGAATGTATAATTATTACATCAACAACAAAAAACACTAAGTCAGAGAAAAAACGTTGTGTGAAGTTGGCCGCAGTGAAAAATCCCACATATGCTGAATACATTTCGCACGTGAATATTCTCAGCATCATAAATGTGTAACATTTACACCGTCCTGCCTGCTCTATAGTTTCTTCCAAGCAGAAGCCCAAAAACACTGGCCAAATAATCCCCTCATCTAGAACCTCTCGCCCTGCAGTCTGATGTTGGCCGATCACAACGTGTAAATCTTTAATGGCCACATGACGTGTCCACAAAAGGAAGTAGCCTCTTTAAATATGTAGCCCATCCAGTTGTTCTTCCGGCTTCATTACCACGGTTTTCTGTACACAGCATTATATTCATAATTCATGTTTCTCAAATATTCCCTCAGATGAGTAGAGGCGTACACAGAAATCCCATTCATCTCAAATGCAAACACAC